TTTTGATAGTTTTAAGGTTCAGGGTGAATTTTTTTCTTTCAATTCGATGTTGAAAGTAGGTCGCTTTGATAAGATTTAAATGATTTGAAATAAATACCAGTGAGCCATTTCACTGTGAACAGATCGTTGATAAAGAATGTACCTATTCTATGAGGAGTTGGTGAAAATTTTCGAATTTTTTCCATGTGGATTTGACGTCATTAAAGATAAATTAGGAATTCAACAATGTGAAGTAACCATGCTATAAAAAAATGTAATTGATATGTTCTTTACTGTCAAATGATAATTGAAACTTTGGATATTTAGATATTTCATCACTCAGAACTGCTGTAAAAGCGGAGTAAAAACCAAATGGATTGGTTTTGCCACTGATAAACTGTTGATATTACATTTAAACAAGACAGAATAAAGCATTATTCACTACCAATTCTGACAACGGTTTCCCAAAGAGTTTTGTTTTGACCTGCTAAATTCAGAAGCGATTTGGCTTCGTTGGTGGTACAAATGGATGGAAATGTATATTACATGTAAAATGCAACAAGACATCAGTTTGCAAATACAATTTTTTACTAGACAAAAATTCCATTCATTAGTACTTTTTCATAAAATAAATGCTTCTCTATCTTATTACATTCTGTTAACGATAATCAACATTCGACGACTCTTCCATTTTTATTTTTCTCAAGCCCCTTGAATATGATTATTTTGAAAAGCAAATTTCAGAGCTTTGATGCTATTGTAGAAGGACTGAGGTAAATTTAATTAAGACGATTACATTAGCTTCTCATCATATAATTTTGCTTAATTAAATCAACCAAAACACTCCAGTGATATTTACATGTATTTCTCGAGAGGGTCACAAGACTATCCTGAAGACTGTATCCCTAGACGTAATATAGTATGCATTTACAGGTGAAGGAGCACAACACCCTTATACCGGTCAAAAGATATTTAATCTTTCCAATTCAATACAATAAAGTTATTTCTATTATAAATACTTATAAAAGAATCGTATTGACTAGAACTTTTTAAACTTATAATAGTGTATTATTTTTCTCTTGAAAGTTTATTTTAGGAAAAATCTGAAGCCTGGTTGTAAGATTTTTTTTGAAAGACGTCAGTTTCGACGTACCCATGTCAGTCGCAGATAGATTGAAATGTCACATGTTCAATGTAGGTTTCTCGTCGGTGTTATATACTGTAGGTTGTTATCCTAGTATATATTTACGAGAAATCAATATGTGTTGAGTTTCACAAGAAAATTTTACTTTTTTCTGCGTTACCTACAAATATTTTGAGAATGATCTTGAATAAACTACCAAAAACGAGAAAAAAAATCACTATGCACTACGGTTCGGAAGTTTGTTTTTTTTTTTTTTTTTTTTTTTTTTTGCACTTGCATTTTTATGAGGTTTGTGAAAAGGAAATGTATAAAAGTTTAAGAGCTGAATAGAATGTTAACGTTAGGACTGTTTGTGTCAAGAAAATTAATATTAATTCAGTTTATAACAGATAATAGAATACTATATTTCACGGAACAAAAATAATACTCAAACAGTTTTCATTGTATTTAGGGAGGTTGGGTGGGTGTTTTGTTTGTTTAACTTCCTTTTCGAGATTTTACAGTCATCTTGAGGCGCCCCACCTGCCGGTGGAGGCCATTGAGCATTGATCGAGAGATTTTTTCCTGCCTACACGCTCGCTCCGTGATCGGGAGGTCGTGAGTTCGTATCTCGGCCGCGACTGACCCAGTCGATAAAATGGGTAGCAACTGTTCCTTCGCCATGCGCTCGGCACCTTGAAGTGAAAGTTGCGGGTCCTTCGGATGAAACCTTAAAAACCGAGGCCCCGTGTCAGCGGCAGGCGTTGGCACGATGAAGATCCCTCACTGCTCAATGGCCCTGAGTGCCGAGTAAAGGTCAAAATTTGAAGCCCTTCACCGGCATACGGTGACGTCTCCATATGAGTGAAAAATTCTCGAGAGGGACGTTAAACAATATACAATCAATCAATCAATCCTGCTTACACCTATTACGACGCGGGACCTCGGTTTGTACGGTCTCATCCGAAGGACCAGTCTCCAAAGTGGGATTCGAAATCGTAACGAAATGATCATGTCTCTGAAGCAAACACTTGAACCACGCGGGCGACTTTTATTTTCTGAATTTTCTCATAACTCAAAGGGTTTACCCTAGTTCATTGTATAACTGCAACAAACGTAAAAGTATTTAAACTAAATCACGTTTAAATTAAAAGTTTCATAAAAATAAGAAAAAAATTAACTTGATGAAATTTTAGCATTGCAATAATTGATTGTACGAGTTTCAACTTAATTTTATTTTCAATGTGTTTGAAAATAAAGGTTTTTTTTCGATGTTGAAAACCGAAAATGTTGTCTTGATGTGCTACACCAATAACATTCACATCCTTCACGCCAATCCTACGTATTTTGTCATCAGTCCAAAGTCCCTTGAATCCAAAAGCTTATTCTTCATTAACTTTATTTTACGTCATAAGAAAACAGTTTTAGACTAATTCCACTTACAGATCCGGAAAGACTTTATTCAAATTGCATATACTACACCTTTTGCGTCATCTATTCGATCTTTATTTCAAACAATAAGTGGGCTTTGGGATATCGAGTGTTTATTTGGTATCTATAAAGAAGTAAAGCAAAAAGTATGCAAGACATTTTTAGATACATTGAAAAGCCTTAGTATCCAAATATTTGCCCCTGAGGTTTTGAATTTCTGTTACTCACCCGCAACATACTATGTCACAACAAACTGTATTTGAAACTTAACACATTTCCAATACTCAGACATAATAAGATACATTATCTTATGTTGATATTCCTGTCTTCATTACAAAAATCACAATCACATGATACCGGCTGCCTCAATCAAAAGCATTATCAATTAAGTAATGTGTTTTATTCCAGCACAGTATCTGAAATAAGGAAATCAAATAACAAGTTGTCTGATACGGTTTCATTGGATATTAATTTATGAGAACCGTATTCAAAACATTGGATTGGCAAAATATTGTTTGTAGAGAATTGTAAATCTCAAAGGATCAAACGATTGCAAGAACACATCAGTCAATTATACAAAAACCCTTCAAGGTTAATTATATAATTTTTACTAATAAATATTTACATGTATTGTTTTTCTTACCATATATGAACCTTTGCACTGGTGAAATCGTATTAAATCTTATGTAGAGTGAAAAACCGTAAGAGAAGTCTTCAAATGAATGCTTTTTCGTCAAATAAAAACAATTAGTTGTTACACGTGTTATGCGTGGGGATTATTTTTCTTGTCTAAATATTATTGCAATGAAGAGATAATGTGTTAGAAGATATTAAACGCGCGGATTTGCGAAAATACCTTCAGATGAAAAGGTGACGAAGAGGTGAGACGCCATTTTGTCGGAGGAGTTGTTCAAATTGAAAAAAGGTGGTTCTATCATTTACAAGTTATGGTGTCAAATGTGAAATTTCTTGTCATTTTGCAAGTAATTGCTTGTTAACATCTAAGACTTCCATCAACTTTTTCCCCATCTAGTGATATTTGGAATCATCCTAATTTTGTATCAATTACAAGTGATTCTGTACAAGAAGAGAAAATTTAGATTCAGTTTTTCAGCTCTCTCTATGGACATCTAACATTTCCAGTTATTAGAAAAAAATATATAAATGGGACAAAACATTTATTTACCGTTAATCTGTAATTCTATCTTGAGCAATATATAATTTTGATGCTGAATTTGTTGTTGTTGTTGTTGTTTTTTGAATATTTGTTTCAGGGATTATACTTTTTCTGTGCATTTGCATAATTAGTGCGTCTTAAAATACTAGTATTAGCACGGGGGTTCCAATCGCATGATCTATTGATTTAATATATGTGAAATGATCAATATACAAAGACAGCTATGTTATATCATTTTAGATAATTATATATAAATTCATCTCGATTTGTTCAGGAAATGCTTAGCAATCTTTTGCAGTGAAGGAAATATATGTTCGAATTGGAACTCTTTTATAGATATGAGCCTATTGTTCAGGGAAAAATTATACGTGTTAGAGAAGGTAAAACTTTCCCAAACTCTGATAGCATTAATATAAGAACTTTGGGTTTTTTTTCATTGGTTAAATATTTCATCTTTTAATTACTGAAAATAAAAATATGCTTTCCTCTAGCAAAATACAAATCTAGAAAGTAGATATATCGAAACATCTAATTTAGTTTTTTTTTCTCAATATTTCTATAAGAATTATAGAGTATAACAAGAACAATTCACACTGTTCCAGTATATTGTATTTTTTTGAACGGTAAAATACTCCTTTGCTTGAGATTAAATAGAGAAAGAAAGAGCTGTAGAGTATTCTCGTAACATTTTGACAGGAGCGCCGCCATCTTAGAGTACTGACCATCCGTGTTTTTTTTTTATTAAAACATATTTCAGTTGACTACTAGTATGTTCAAACCAACCAAATCATGACAGGCAAATATAAAGCAGTGTGTTGATAGACAAACATAGAGCAATGTATTCAAAAAGAATTTTAGAATCTCATGCAGCCAATTTAATTCTGTTTAACCACTCTACTTTTCCAGTAATTTCATCACAGGAACTTGTCATTTTATTAAGCTTTCCCATATAACAAAATATTTTTATGTTAATTTACGTTATTTTTTTTTCAGTGTGAAATATATGCAGATGCATATTTATTTATAAACATTTAGAAAAACAAAGTGTGAAAGAGAGAGAGGGGGAGAACTTATTCTGGAGTACATAAAAGGAAAACGATTCTTTGATAAACATATAAGAAGTGCAAATAATAATCAAATTAAAGTACACAAATATGTAAAGGGCACTTGCTATAATGAGGGCGCCATATTGGTAATTGATAATAATTAAAATAATCCAACATTAAGCACTATTTAAGAAACAAATATGAAAAAAATTAGAAAATAATTTTTTATTTTTATTTTACTCACCTGAAGACAGATCTTTGTCTATTAGGTTAAATTTTCCTTGTCAAGTCGGATTTGTTCAAAAACATAAAACACTCCTGAAATTAAGTCTTCAAATGAAAGCTTCTATTTATTTTCTGTCTTTTATTTTCTGCTCAATTTGAATTCGCCCACTTGACACGCGTTGTCAATTCTGATTAAATTACACGCGCCAAGTTAACACAATGAACTAGTTCCCATCAGACCTGTTAATACGTTTATTCTCTGTCAGCTCGAAGACAGGCTCCAAGGTTTCCTTTAAACAAGCATCTAGAAGATCCAGACAAAATGACGTGTTGCGCTTCCTCTCCTTTTTAAAACCAATAACAATTGTCTCTGACTGACATACAGTCTCAATGAACTTGTAGACTTTTGAGTTGGTCTGATTGATTGAACCTTTGCTGGGTTAAGGTTTGTGTGTCTGATAGATTAGTAACAGAATAATCGGTAATTAAGATGGTGTTGCGATTCTCTCTACAGGGTGTTACACAAACAGCTACAGGTTTAATTTATCAACAATGTCAGGCTTTATCAAATCAGTTTCCGCTATTATTTATGTCCAACTTGCATAACATACAGAACGAATAAAAATTTTGATTAAGGCTGATTTCATTACACGCTTTTCACGTTTTAAGAATGCAACCAAGATTGGAAGACATGCCTGGCAAAAAGCAAAAGAAGAACTTTGATTAATTTTGTCTTCCTGTTCTTCTGTTGGTCTTACAAATGTAAGGATAGTAACAAAGACCCCAAATCTTCTATCTCCGTCCTCGAAGCATATTTCCATACCAATAAATATTTTGAGTTTACTCTTTAAGTTGCTAATCAGCTTCTAGATTTGATAAAATCTACTTTTACTATACGATAAATGTCCAAATTTTGGTTTTATTATTTTTTATTATCAAGGATGTAGTTTATTCAGATACCTGACGGAAATATTTCACTGATAAGAATGAAAGCCATCTACTGTACATGCATGTAGAAGACCTGTCTTTGTACAGTTATTATTCGTTTATAATAACTAGATCAGAGAATTTTTCATGTTTGTTTGATCTGAGTCTGACACATCTGTTTCATATTTGGATATTTTACTTGAAAAAGATGTTAATGGTAATCTAACAATCAAGCTCTATGAAAGACGTGATGTCTTTCACTTTTCTATCATCAACTTCCCTTACTTGTGCAGCAATATACCTCCATAACATGCATACAGAGTTTTTCAATCTCAGTTGATTCGATGCGCAAGAGCATGCTCTACGTATGAACAATTTCTAAAACGAGGTAAAATATTGACAAACAAGTTGATGAAAAAAGAATATCAGCAGTCTCGTTAACAGTCACAATTATGGTCGATACAATGACCTTGTCAGCAAATACAGTTTATCACTGAGTCAAATGCTGACTGACGTTTTTCATTCTGGTTGTTAGTCCATTATATTTACACTGAATTGAAGACAGATCTTTTCCGTTATTTACCGATCATGACAAGGAGCACACGGCTGGTGTGACCGGTCGGCAGGGGAAGCTCACTCCTCCAAAGCACCTGGCCTGGGGGCCATAAAACTTAGACGAGCTCACTTTTGATCTCAGTCTCACTTTTCCACTGTTTATTCCTTTGGAAAAAGTGAGACTGAGATCAAAGTGAGCTCGTCCAAGTTTTATGACCCCCAGGCCTGGTCCCACCTCTGATGTTTTGGAGGTCCGTGTTTGCTCTGGTCCTGTTTTGTATTGTTTTGTGGACTTGAATACTGGTGGTTATCTCCATATATTTCATCTGAGTATTTCTAGCAAAGAATTTCATCTTTTACTACATGGGCAATATTTTCATTATTCACAGAATATGACAAATACAAAATCTTTGGATAATGAAATATTATGAAAATTAATAGATTTTACATTTAAAAAAAACTTCAAACTATCAACTTCTTAGTTACTTCAATCTGAATTTCTTCAGGAACTTTTTTCGTGCCAGTACCTACTTAAACATGGGACTTTGATTTATTCATGATGAAAAAAATTGAAATTTCTTTAGGATTCCCTACGCATCATTATAAACTTACTGATATTATTGCATATTTTCTTCGAATAATAAATTTTCAAATTGATATTAAGTTAAAATATGGTTATTTTGCCCATTTAAAATCTCTTTTGATTTAACATTTTGAACTTTATTTTGGTTCAAATTTTGTCACCTTGATTAAGGTTTTTTTTAAAGGTCTGCTTATATATCGTTCATAAACACATTGTACAAAAAAAACGCTAAAAATAATGTTCTTCTTTAACGCGCAATAACGTGTACATTCTGATCCTTTCACGTTTAGCGCGCTTTAGCTAGTTTCCACTTTCAAGTGGCACAACACACAGTATATGTTAAGGCCCTTTCACAATTGACGCACGAGCACTTTGCGATCGGAAAATTTTAGCTTCGCACGAGCTATCGCATACGTTGCACGATGTCTCGCATTCATTGCATGTGTTTTAGTGGTCGCATCAAGTCTCCTCAAAATAGTCAACATGCCCACATGACGCGACCAAATGCGATCAAAATTATCGCAATTCAACGCACGAAAATTAGTACGAACGTCTTACAACGTTTTATGTACTCGTAAGAGTGATGCACGATTTTTTAAGATCGTAAGATGAATCGCAGCTGTCTTTGCGTGTGTTTTGCGACCATGAGACTGTTGCTCAACATGTCTCATGTAATCTTGCAACGTTTTACCATCATTGCTTGATTTATCACCTTCAATTGCCATGCTTTGCAACAGGCATATATACCGTGTATAATTATAAGCATCTTAACTATGTCAACTGAAGAGCGTCGGAAACGGGTGGTATATATACCCGGCCCTCTGACTCGCACGAACATTCGTACTATAGAATGCATGAGCGAACGAGCACCGCACGTCCAATTGTTTTGTCGCACGTTCAATCGTCCGATTACCTGATCAGTCGTGCAATCCTATCGCATTATCTTACAACACTCGCTTTCATTCAACAACAGTCGCATATAGACGCAAGATATATCGCAAGATTTAATGCACAACAGTCGCTTTAGATCGTGCAAATTTCGTACGAACACTTTTTTCATATGCGATTATTTTGGCAACAGTTGACGATCCTAACCAAAATTATTCGGTCGCACGAATATTTTGTCGCTTCTGCTCGTGCGCCAATTGTGAAAGGGCCTTTATGATATCACATCATGCGTTCAAGCTGTCGTACACTTCACCTTTTTAAACGCTTGTCGCGAAAATGTCGCTCTTTTGCACACGACCCTATTGGATCCAAAATGAAGAACATTCATTATAATGGTTAATTTGGAATTTGGACTACAGACATGTCTTTGTGTTTGAAGTGAATATTACAAAGAGAATTCATTAAGCTCTTTTGTCGTTTATTGAGTGACTGGTAAATAAACTCTTGGCACTCTATACAGAAATGAATATATTCATAAAGTTGCATCTTTTTGAGTAATTTATCAAAATGTTTTATTGCTTATGATTTGAAGTCGTATGCACAGTTTTTCAAAAATATTTTTTTTTATCTAATATGATCTTCTTAGGATAATAAGGTATGATTACCATCTAGATGTTTTCCTTGTAAAACCGTAAAATAAGAGCAAATTTAATGTTTTCTAATCTTTTTGCTCTGTAACTTAGTCAATAAAAAATTATGCCACATCAAAAATTCTGATCAAAAGATTTCTCGAGAGAAATCATGTTTCCATATGAATTAATGTTGGAATAAAAATGCGCATATTATATAGATTGACATTCTACAAGAAAAAGTCTCTTTCCCCCTTTTACCGTAGGGGTATATTTATGTGAAATGTTACGTGTCTGAGACTGTTTTCCCCTTCGAAGGTCGATCAGCGCTGCAAATTAATGCTACACGTAATAATCCTAGCTAACTAATGCTGATGTATGCTTTAAGGCACTTTTTGTTTAACCTCACTGGTAATCCAAGGCAACATAATAGCTATATCTTCTTTTTTTTCGAACAAATAGAACAGAATGACGTAAAGGTGCTAAATACGTATTTATTTTAATGTTTAATGACGACAAATGTAACCCATGAAATAAAAACAAACAAATATGGTTAGGAGGAATGGGTGCGTATCATTACCGCTACATTTTCAAAATTGTTATTACAGCTACATAGTCATTACCGCTACAAAAACAATACATTACCACTACATATAAAAGTATACATTACCGCAACGTTGCCTATTTCGTTAGCCAGCCACTTGTGCGTGTACAGATCCCACATTCACACGCGACTCCAAAATATGTAAAATAAGATACAACAAATCATGGACTACGTATTTTATTCAAATATTTGAAGCAGTTTATGCTTATACATGGCAGCAACCAAATATTTTATGTTACACTGCCATATATTTTACTTCTGTCAACATTGCAAAAAATTCTAAAAATTTAGAATGAGAACTGTAAAACGTCGTGCTGAATTCTTTGTGAAAGCTTTGTGATTGGAACTTTAATATATTCCGTACTTGTATATCGGCTGATTCCATAAGTAGCGGTAATGAGTTGTTTTTGACTAAAAAAAATGTAGCGGTAATGATCGGTCGAAATTTTGAAAAAATGTAGCGGTAATGATCGGTCGAAATTTTGAAAAAATGTAGCGGTAATGATTTGAAATATTTGGCGATGTAGCGGTAATACCTGAAACAAGGAAAGACTTTTGATATGTACGATATTTGATAAGCTACAGAAATGCAATTCCATTAATTATAAGCCTTGAAAGTATAAATGCCGTAATCTTCATTAGTTTTTTGTTACTCATGTAAATAGTTTTTTTTTTTAATTCTCAGATTAATATTTTTTAAACTTAGTGCACCCACAGATACAAATCCTATCCTAATACATACAACCACAGAGGAAAAGAGGTGCTTTTGTTTTCTGTTTTGTTCATCACTCTCGTTTTGATTAAGAGAGAGAAAAGAAAAAAAGCTTTTTTTTGCTATATTACAAGTAAACACTCCCTCCTTTGTTGTTTTGCTCATTTAAATACAAACCTTTTGATTTTTTTTATACTCAGTAGTCTTTATATAATCTTATGTAGATAGAATTCATGTCACATTTCCAGAAGACCTTGTGTTTTTACTGTAAGGCATATGTTTTATTATCTTCATCTAGAGATTAAATTTAATAATTCAACCCCCATGAGTATCTTTGAATGAATATAAAGAAGAAACCAAGAAAACTATATCATGAAACAAGGAAAGGAAAAGCTGACATTCATCACATTCATTGTTATAAAGAGTTAAATATATTACATTCTACGAGCAAATGTGCCTCAAAAGGCACTCTACCTTCTGGAAGAAGAATCTTGGAACCGTTAACTGATTTAAATGGACTTTTATAATCATAAATATACACTCTTGATAATACATCAAATGGTCTTCATTTTTATTAATTCAGCAATGGAATTGAGATATCATGTGTTTCACATGCTTAAAAAAGCATAT